ATAATTTCTCATACCATTGAACTTGAATATCATGTTATACCTATTTCAAAGATTAACAATCAAATTTTAATACTCGGGGTACATACCAAATAAAATATTTAATCTGATGCGGATTAGGCTGCATCGCGAAGTTAAATAATCTCGGTTTTTACGCACATACATTTGTAAAAGTTCTCATAATTCTAATTTGTAATACTTTTCACGGAAACATTTATATTTCCACAACAAGAATTTATCGCGCAAATATGTACTATCTTTGTCTCATCTTACCTTTGAATTGCATTTTTGATCCTTCCATATTTTTGATGACAAAACAAATTCCATATGTTTCATACGCCAAAGGGGCTTAAAGAGAACTTGATAAATGCGCATTGAAGGCTCCAGCATTGTGGCAAGGGGACCCCTTACAGTATACTGCAACGATAGAATATCCCAACCAATATCACCATCACATGGTGACATTAATCTTACATCCAAATGATTGAGAATTTCTGGATCATCATATTGGGCATTTGTTGATCGGATGGCAGCATCCATAATGGAAGACAAATCATAGGAATATAATTCTTTGGCTGGCTTGTCTAATTCCGATCTATAAAAGAGAAGAAAGGAAAATGGTTAAAGTATTATAAAATAATTAAATTACATTTTCTATTTAATTACTTTAAGTTCTCCATTAAAATGCCAATAAAATCGCCTTGACCCAGCAGCAAATAACGTCGCATAGCCTGTAGATGTTCCAATAGTTTATGCGGGCCCATAACAATGTCCAACACCCGTTTGGATGTATTCAAATAAATTGAATCAATAATGGAGTGGAGTTTAGTATCTGCCACGGCGGAGAATATATGCTCGGCTAAAAGAAAATATTTATTTAAAATTGAAGTCTGCAGAATATAAATATGTTTGTATCTATGTTTACCATTTTCTTCTATGCATTGCCTTAGTTCATCTCTACCCTTTACCGGCTGTTTGTCCTCGCATATTTCACACAGGAAATTTATACTTTTACCGGTAACTAAAATTTTATTGGCCATATCGGTGGTCACGAAATTCGGCAACATGGAAGAACGCACCCGATACTTGTCGTGCCAGAGGCGATCTGGACCCACCTCTACTAGACATTCAATAAAAAATTCACCATGTGGATCACATATTTCACCTTCAAGTAACCATTTGGTCAACATTTGATACAACGGTCCACATATGGCAACTAATAGTTCTTTGGCCACATGTTTAACCATCGGATTGCCACTGCTTAGGAAACCATGTACTGTAGAGGCCAAAGCACCGCCCTTCTTTTCTTGGCATGCTTCCGCAATTGCTGCAAGCAGCTGTAACCGTTGCAATGGATCCACCGACCATACAAGAATTTTCATTAGTGTCAAACGTTCCTGACGATTTGTTGTTATGTTGTGTAATGTACCACTTTTTTCACACTGTTTCTGTTTATTAAGCTGTTCCTGTAACAGAGCAACCATACCATAATACTTTGTTAGTTCAGCTCTCAGAGCCGATATAAATCCCTGGCCCATTAAACCCAAGGCACATAGACCACTCTTGGTATCTGTATATGATTTAACCAAATCATGATAATAGCCTAGCTCAGCTAGGCGTAACATCATGCCAGCTTGTACAACATTCAAATGTTTTGCCTTAACATCTAATTTAAATTTGCCCGAAACCACATCTTTCTTTAGATATTTTCCTGGTATTCCGGTAAAAGCATATATGACATTTTGTACAATATCATCGTTGATATTGCTTTGAGATTCCAGCATTTTATTCGTGTCAGGACCAACACTTCCTGCCCTTAGGGGGAATTGTGTACTTGCTGCTGTGGGTATCATACTGTTCGAAGTTGTATCGTTTTCCGAACCACTATGATTTCCAGTTTGATAATTGGATTGACGTAAAACGGATATTTTGTGACTGATATCGGAAGAATTATAAATGCCAGATACCTACAATAGAGATGGGGTGGGAAATATATTAATATATGTTATATAAAAAGTACATTTGGATGTCATTTTACCCCTCCATTTCCCATGCCCATCATTGTGGCTGATTGTTGGTTCTTTTGCAATGTATGACTTCTTAATGTTTGTATGGTATTATTCGGTGGCAAGGAAGCATTTGGATTGCTATAACGTGTGCGCGATAGTGTCGGTGCAGCTGTGGAATTACTTGAACCACCACCATTTTCTGATGTGTACTTCGAATCAGCCATAAATAAAAGAAATGTTAACAATGCATTGCGTTGGCGGGCTTCCAGTTGCTGTAAAAAAATATATATTTTTAATAAATATTTTGTCTTTATAAAATGATTTCCAAGCAGACGTGTCATTGTCATGGGATTCGGAAAATAAAAGAGCGATTTTTAAGATCGCCTCTCCATCTTCGATGTGTGTCTACACCTTGATGTTTATGACAGCCTCAGGACCGTCAGCCTAATGGCTAATGAGGGTACATAAACTTCGATATGACAAAAATGTGACACGTTGAAATATTGGTCTAAGACCCACGTTTCTTTGTACCATATCCCATTCACACAATTTTCAGTCGAATTACAAATGTCCGTCCCGTATTATTTCTTCCAAACTTAAATCAAATTCAAAGATGGAGAATATCGTTCCACTCCTTCTGGTATCTCCTACACAAATTGTTGCTAACCGACTTTCCGATTTCAACAAAACTTTGCACAACCTTACATTATCACCACGCCAGTATAGTGTAGTAAGCTGGCACTTATTGGCTCATCCCTCGCGAAGGGTCGAAATTTAAAATTTTTATAAATGTAATACTAAGCGATTTGAATGTCCGACTTTACCTCTTCACAGATGGTCAACCCGGTAAACAACTAGGCGGTAAACAACTGTCGGCAACATTTACTAGCAATTTTGTACTTGTAATGCCATAAAAAGTGGTGTGTAGTTTGAAAGTTTATTGCTAATATTTGTAAATTTTTTGGTATTGCAAATGGAAAACATCAGTCCATGTTTGGTATAACTTCCATATAACGGGCCTCACAAATTTCATTATTTTGGGTAGTTTTGGCAATTTTTTCCAACATAATTCGCTGTAATTTTATATTTTGAATTCTCATTGCGAATTAAAATTCCATATCAAAAATTATCAATATTGGCCCAAAGTTAGAATGTGGGTTTTTGGTTGGTTTTTATTGGATGTCAAATCATTTGAAGAATTTCAGATATGTGATGATGAAAGCGCCGATTCATGAATTCGTAATGCTATGGAGAATATAGAACATCCATGTTGCATACACGAAAACGGATATTTTCATGCTCGTGGTGAACCTTTAGGTGATATTTTCCCCCTCTTAGTTTCTTTGAATATCAAAATAAAATCTATTTTTAGCAAATCTTGAATTTGTAAAAGCTTCATTATAGATACCATATATATTTATTTCATTATACTCACACTGGATTTTAATTGTTCATTTAGGTTAAGGAACAAGGCTGCATTATTTGAAGAACCACTACTGTTCGATGCTTTTAAAATGGAAGCAGTACCTGATGCCTGAGCTGCATTCAGATGTTGTGTTATTTTCGTTAGCAGGGAAGATTCATCATAGGGCATGGTTGAGCCCAACGCTGAGGGGCAATTTGATATGTATTGGGTTACATGGCGTAAAATATCCCCTGAAATGAACAAGAAACCATATCTAAATAAATAGTGTACGCGGATAAATCGTTAAAGTGCAAACCCACAAGATAACCTTAAGACCAACTCTATAAGTTGATGTATTTTCCAAAATTTCGTTAACGATAACATTTAAAATAAAAATATTTGTCAAAACTAAAATTACTTTTGTAAAAAAAAAGAAAAAAAAATTAAACTTACTGTGATTGCCTTTGGCGCCTGTAAAACTTTTACACAAACGTTCGAGTAAAACATAAATATCTTTATAATTACTACGACATCCTGCGGTCGGCACTGGCACCCCGCTGGATGCTGAATTAAAATGTAAACTTAAAAAAAGACAACACAAAGCAACTGTTGTTTACAGTCTCTCCGTTGTAAATTTGACAGCTTTTTTAATTTTTTTGTCCAATTTCCAGTTGAATGTTGACATGAAATTTTTTGAATTTGTTATTGTTTTTAAGAATTAATACAATTCAATATTACCCTGAAGGAAATGTGGGGTGTTGTATCGCCTTTGTCTACTATTGTGGTGACATGTCTCCATATTTTCTACAACTTGTCTACATTTCATGTAATAAGAAGAAGCATTTGTTATGTTAACAACCAACTGAACATGGTTATGCTTCTTCTTATTTTTCTTTAATTATAAATATGTTGGCGGCAATAGACAGATATTTTGTTAAAAACGCGAGTTTAAAGTTATTAATGGTAATAATTAAATTAATTAATTAATTGGTGAAAAAAATTTTTGAGCAAAAGAAATTATAAAAAATTTACAAGTGACATATGTGACCTTTTGTCTATATATACAAACTATTGACTTACTACTGACCGTGTCCACATATGCGACGCTGTGTCTATATCTAAAAACTACTGACTTACTACTGACCAAGTCACTAGTTCATTTCCAATGACAAGCACATGTTAAATGTCAATAGTAAAATGCATTGTGTTGGGTATAGTCGGTCAACAGTATTGGTGACGATGTCAATAGTAAGTCAATACTGATTTACTGTAGACATTTCCTACAGGGTAATTAAATAACACAAACAACAAATGATATACATTCCAATACACCAATACAATACAATTACGGGTAGAGTTGGGTAGTTGGTAGTTGCCAAGACTCAAGCGACGTCGTACTGAAAAAATTGAAAAGCGTTCCACTTGCTAACGAATAGGAGAAGACAAAATGGCCGATAAAGATGAACTCAAAATGGTATAACCGTGTTGTTTACGAATGAGGTTTAGGCAAATTATGATTAGGGATAAGTAAATCGACTTTCGACTTTCGGGAACGAACTAGTTCATTGCAACTATTCCGAGAAAGGAACGATCGGAACTAGTTCCAGATCTTTAATTAATATAGTTGCTTTTTTGATCCAGTTCCTTTTTTGAACTATTTGAAGCAAAGGAACTATAAAGAGCTAATCAACTGTATGGAGTAAAGGAACTATATGGAGCAAAGGAATTGTATGGAGTAAAGGAACTATATGGAGCAAAGGAACTATAAAGAGCAAATGAACTACATTGAGTAGGGTAGATTGGGTAGATCCGGAACGAACAATAATAAGCTTATTGATAAATAAGCTTTCGGGGATACGTACGTCGATTTTTCTTCGACTAATCGATTAATTGTAAAAAAAATCGTTCATTATCGCAAGAAGCTGCATGCCAAGATCTATTAATAAGGTCACCATGGCCTATAAATAAGGTCACCAAGTTGGCAATCGAAATCGGAAAACATCTGTTTTTTCTCAAGTTTAATGTCAAAAATTTCGACTTTGTTTACGTTTTCATAATGGAAATCAATTCACAATAATGCATTTTGACAGCAAACTTGAGAGGTATCGATTATCAGCTGGTCTCCCTTGGTGACCTTATTTATAGGCCATGGCCGCTACCAACAACAAAACTGTAAAAACCGATAAGTTATCGAAACTGTCACTCAAAAATGATAGTGTGTACACCGCTTTAATACCATTCATAATGCCATGTTCTGACGGGCATTCGAACAACGTAGTTCGCTCTCAGAATTACGTACATGAATTAACCCGTTCATACAACACTATTCTTAATTCATGTCATCAGAGTTTATTTTTTTTTCAAACTTTTTGTTTCTTTTTTACACTAAAATTGTAACATATTTGCATGAATCACATGTTGATCTAAATAGAAAAAATAATTCTCTTTCTCCTGACTATAGTATGACCCCATATCTATTAACTTTTAATTCATGTTTTCCATTTTTTCTGAAAATATTGTTGTTTTCATACATTTGTATAATTTCTCAATTCAAATGTCACATATAAAAAATTGGAGAATTTTTTTTTGGGTGGCCCCACATTTGTTTCTGGTTTTGTACGCTAATTAGAACAAAAGGGAAAGAAATGCATAAATTTAGATCCTTCTGCATACAATTTTCATAGACAATTTTTTACTTTTCATTTATCATTTTCAATTTGAAAATTTGATAAATATTTTCAAGCTGTCAAAATTAATTTATTTTCGATAAATACTCTCAATTGTTAGGGATGGGACAAGTTTCTTCGTTATTCAGAGAGTGATTCGAATTGAACAACGTACAAAAATAGGTGTTCGCTCAGAAAATTTTGTATGGGGAACTAAGTAATTACTTCATAATTAAGGGTCGAACCACGAATGAGAGAGGGAACAACGCTCGTCTGTACATGGCATTATGCCATGTATTTATCGAAAATAAATTAATTTTGACAGCATGAAAATATTTATAAAATTTTTAAACTTTGTAGGATAAATTATTGATAAATAAGCTTTCGGGGATACGTAAGTCGATTTTTCTTCGAATAATCGATTAATTGACTTATTATAAAAAAATCGTCCATTATCGCAAGAAGAAGCAATCTACAATCGATTCTATTGTTTTTGCGAAGGTAAAAGTCGAATATAAATTTTTGATTCGTACTGCAAGACTCAATTTTTTAAAAATGTTTACTATTTTTTAATAACATAGGGTTGTACCCATGATACAATAATACAAGGTAGGGCAGCTTAAGGTGGATAACAAAAAAGCCACTGTGTGGCTTCTTCTGCCAAAAATAAAATAAATATACGCAACAAGTGTTTGTGTTTATTTGACATTTTTTCAACACAAAACTAAAACGCGAAAAATGAATGAAAGGTTATAATTTCTTCCCAAAATCCAGTAGGGAATACCATAAAATGTTTATTTCATCCATAACAAAGTAATTACTTCCAGATGACATAGTATTAAAAACAATACACACACATACACAAAATATTTATTTTGATTTGATGGAACAAGCCACCTTGAGAAAAAATTGTAAACAGTTGGTAGCTGTGCCCTACCTTGTAATAATTATACCATGCGTCGATGTATTTCGGTAACATTCATATAAATACATGTGTTTTATTTGGGGTGAATAACGTCAAACGCCCAAGTTGAATTTTAGGTAGTGCTCGTACACACTATTGGTCTGTTCATAAAGAAAAATTCGTTATCGTATCTGAGCTTTTTTTAAAGATTTGATTCAAACTTGCATTCAAAAATCATTCCAGAACATGCAAACGGCGTCTCAATTTTACAATACCAATTTTGGATATCATTACGTTGCGATTCACATTATCTTTTTGGTAGGACATTTGATATTCGGCCTTTATAGCATGTTTACATTTAACCGGATTTCGTTAACCCAGTGGGTTTTAATTGTCAATTCATTTGCATACATGTCAAATAAATCCTCATAAAGTAGATTAACCCGGTAAAATGTTCTAATGTACAAGCGGTTTTAAAGTATTAATTTGTCCGTTATTTTTTACTTTTTTTTTTCAAAGAATAAAATCATTGCCCCTAAACGACATAACAACGGCGTTCAGGTAACACAACGCCATTATGATTTATTACTACACGCCGTTGATAGCATATTCAGTGTAACTTGGCACTCTTAATGGGAGTGCAGATTGAATTTTGCGTCTGTGTTTCTTTGCAATTTTGTGAAAAGTTTAAGGTTTTTTAATACAAAAATTAGTTGAAAACGCTGAGCCATGATACTGGAATAAGTTGGATTAACAAAAAATCGCTTAGAAAAAGAAAATAAGTGGATAAAACATCGATGTGAAATCAGACAGACACCGGTGATTTGCCGATAGCGAAAAACACAAAACGGAGAGTCAAAAAAAGAATTAAAAAGAGGCAGAGAACACGTCATTCACAGTAAATTGTTAGTTGCCCATTGCGGTCTTTTGTGTGTTATTAAGTGGGTGTATGGTGGTAAATTGAATATTGAAATTGCACAAAAATGGCAGTTGAAACTGCAAATCCATCGGTAAAGACCAAATTCCTAACATGGGAAAAGCAGGAACATCTTGTTAAAATGGCTATTTTAATAATAGCAGCCGTTTTGTGTAAGTATTAAATTGAATATTATGTCGGTTATTTAGAATTTTGCATAAACGAATGTGGGATGCGGAGAAGAAGCAACAAAAAGAGTCTTATTTAGTGTGTGAGAGAGAGACTGTGAAGTCGCTCTCTTTAAAAATGTATTAATGGTGCCTTAACTTATGTGATTAAGAACAAAGTATTTTAAGGACACCTTTCAGAATATTTTAAAATATTTATCATTAACAGCCTTACCTAAAATTAAACTAGCTCGTTCGACGTTTTTCACCACAAAAGTAGAACACATGAATTTATATAAATGTTGCCGAAATACGTCGACGTACGAATTTTCAAGTTGAAAAAAAATTCAACTATGACAGAACGTAGTTTTGTTTTTTTCTTTTGTTGAAAAAAAGAAACAAAACAGAAAGAAATATATTTTTCTTTTCAATAAGAATATGAAATATTTGAATACATTTTGTAATTTCTTAATTTTATTTCGCGAATTTGTTTAGTTCGCTAAGAGAAATGGATTCGACGTATTTGGGTAATACGGTCGTACAAAACATTTTGCCATAGTGGGGAAGTTGAATATTTTTGTACGCTTCGTTGAATTTTAGGTAACGTTTTAATAGCATTGTAGCTAATGCTTTTACACGGGGCTGAGGTGATAGACGTTACAAGGCAGGGCACTTGAGATGAATAACAAAAAAGCAACTATATAGGTGGTGGCCCCTTCTGCCAAATATAAAATAAATATACGCAACAAATGGTTGTGTATATTTGACAGTTTTTCAACACAACCAAAAAACGCGAAAAATGAATGAAATGTTATGATTTCTTTCCAAACTCCAGTAGTCCATAAGAAAGTAATTACTTCCAGTTGGACACGTTAAAAACATCGGAACAACCCAAAAACAAAAAATTCTATTTAAAAAGAGATTCTGTCGCGTAGCCGATCATCGGCCGAAGGCCACCTACACAAAAAAATTCTATTTAGAAGGAGTATCTGCCTACAAAAAACCATGCTATATAAAACGAGATTCTGTCATGTAGAAAGATTTTCCTTATTTTTATAGGGTCCTATGGCCCATATCTTTTGATCCACAACAGATCCAGTTAAATATCGCACCCCATCATATCACCACTCAATGAAAAGGTATTTT